GCCTTCAACAATTAACCATGGTTACTAGTCTAGTCAGATACCGTACCGTGCAGATTTACTAAGTGGCAGTATCGTAGCTCAGTTTCATACCTATTTTATTTGCATATATTGCATATATACACGTACCTAACCCGTTTCTATATACTAGTATTTGGCTGTTGTAGGGAAAGGTTCGGGTCAGGAGTAGGGGAGACTAAGACGAGGTGTGTCTAGTTAGAACACAAAGTAGCAACTGATTTAAGGTAGCGAGACTATTATTTGTGTTGAAAATTACGATTTCCACATTTATTTATTAATTGATGAAATGCACTATAAACTTTCATCTGATAAAGTCAACGTAACCTAGAATGTCATGTAAGTTGGTTAAAATGTAGATTTTCTGAAGGGGAGCATGACAGCAACAGTAGTGTTTTCCAAAATCAACAACACAGGTTTAATCTGTGTGCCTATAAGTTTCAAAGATAAACTCAAGACAAAGCAATGTTAGGATGTGTTATCAGTAGCTATCTGACACACAATGAGTGTTTCTAAACATTTGAGTGGTTTGTCTCTGCCTGTTTCACAGATTAGTCATTTGCATATGAATGTGTCAGACACAAGGTCACACAGCCACTGAAAAAATCATTGATTTTGGCGTTTTCATCTGCCGATTTTATCGAATTATAGCTATCCCATTCCTTTATTTTTTGGTTTCCAATAGCCTTACACATTTGGATGCCCCTACACATGTTAAAACAGACCTTAATGGGAAAACAAATTGATTGTGCCGACAAGCAGGATGTTGCATAATACTTAAGTCGTAAAGATTACCGTACATATGGTTAGCCATTCGTTCTTCTTATCTATGCCGTCAAAGACATAACACATTTTCCGACAGCTGTGATGTGTATCACGTTGTCTGCAATTTATTGATGGACACGAATAAGCAAATTACGCGATTACTGTTTTCCATTACCGAAGAAAGAGGTTTCACTAGGTTTCATCGGATTTGACGTTGCATGGGTGCTCATTGGTTTTAAATTCAGTGATTTGTGAAGAAAATAATACATTCAATTGTTAAATTAGAATATTCACAGGGTTTTAATTAAACACATTTAGCTACCAGCAAAGTTAATACGCAAATATTAATCCCAGCTAATAATTGGATCGTAAACCAACACTAGAGGGCGTGGTCATTGGTTCAACAGATGATTTAGGCTTCTGGTTTATAATCTACATCGTTTTAGTGCTATAAGTACACCTGTTGAATCTCCTATTTCGAGATATGCATTACCATTGAGAACTACAATTAAACCAATGTGTTTTAGCCGGGCTGTACTAAATGGTTAATTCTTATTTACTCTCATGGATTTTATCTCTGATG